TGTATTACCTATACAATTAACCGCATTAGTGAAGCATATTTCCTTTTATAACAAAAAACGTGCAGTGCTGGCTAACCCGTCGAGTTGTGGCCATTTTTCCTGATCACAGCACCGTTCGGCTTCAAGTGGTCTAGAGTTGGCTCAGAACCGAACAAAAACGCACGCAGCGCCATTCATTGGAGTTGCACAATGAAAACAGAATAATGATTCTTTATTGAATCTGTGGAACGAAGAGTGGTGTGATCATGGATATGATATTCGTGTAATATCACATCATTCGTGTAATTTGATAACATTCTCTTGATAACGAATTAAGATAAAAATACTAATGCAAATACTAGGTAGCAACAATTGTAATAATAATAATAACCTTTAAAAATCACACGAGGCTAGTTCTCAATTAAGTATTATTAAGCTTGTGGTATAGGTACTGAACGACTGATAAAATACTTATATGTATACATGTTATTTGTAAATACAACTTACTTAAAAAAGGATATATTGATCTATTTTTTATGTAGATAATTGGAATGTCAAATAAAACTGACTGATTACTTGATGGTATTATTGATTAATACTAGATAAATATTTTAATATTATAAACGCGAAAGCTTGTGAGTAAGGATGGATAAATTTGATCTCGGTATTTTTTATTTATGTACATTATGTTCTAGCTGTGCAGTTAAATTTGTAGTCTATGTATTATTCTGATGTTTAGTTTAATTAAAACGCATTAGTCAGTTTTTGCCTAAAAGAGTAACAAACATCCATCCAGACACCCACACACAAAAACTTCCGCGTTTATAATATTAGTAATTATCTATTATTAATAAACAATATCATAAAATAATTATCGAAAATCTTCTATTTTTTTTTATTCAATCACACATGATGTAATTTTACTACTAGTAATTTGCGACAACCGCATCCAATATGTTCGTAACTCGTCTCTGGCTGTGTTTACATGGCGGATGGTGCAAGTACTGGTTCAATGGGAGAATTGGCCCACTTGAATCATAATGGCCCAGTGGCTGCCCCGAGATAGCACTCGTGTACACCCGACTTGTGATGTTTTATCCTATATATTGCTCAATATAAACGAATTCCGCGGGTGTACACCAGGCCGCTTTTCGGTCCAAAGGGTGAAGTAATCTTTGTTGATCCGCTAATATTGCGAAGCAGTGCTGCCCCGCGGCGTTCCTTCATTGTCTTTATTGGAAAAGTAATAGGCAGGTATCAAACTTACTCTATGTAAATTACGGACGTAAAAATATATTTTACTAATATTAAAAACTACTAACTAACTTACGCAAAAACTACTGAACGGATTTTAATGAAACTTCACAATAATGTAGCTTATACATCCAAACAACACGTAGGCAATAAATCAGATATACATCAGAATAACAAAATTGTTATAGTCACTTTGCTATGCAGTTGAACTCTTTATAGCTGAAATGAAAGCCCGTGAAAAAAACTTTCACAAAGAATCAAAGTAAAATTAAAACAATTTTAACAATCTCCGTACACACTGCACAGAGATGTGAACAATTTGGTACGAAAAGATAAAAACTTATTTCAACTTTGTTTGAGAGTGTTTTAGTTTCGTGAATGTTCTGCCTTGCTGTCGGGTTGCAAACACTACACGGTTCCCAATGACTCCACATAGACAAGTGACAAACAAATCTATGGATAGTTAATCGATGTCTATCGCAGTCATGTAATAGATAGAGACAGCAGAATCTGGTATCTTAGTCTAACTTATTGGGTTTATTTAGGAAGTTCATGCTAACTTCACTCTACTACGGGACAAAGTAACACTCTATCTTGGCTAATTAAAGTACACAAAATTACTTAACTACTTACTCAGCTTGGTGTTAAGATGGTTTTTCTTATCTTTACATACAAAGATTACGTAAAATCGTAAAGGGACGAAAACTGTTTATCTGTTTGTTATTTAGATTTTTTGTAAAAAAGGACTGATCTTCTAAACCTACATATGTAGGTAAAGAAAAGTAAAATATCCCCTTAATGATTTTCGACAATTTTTTTTAAAGGGGCTCCTATACTTTTGTTATTTAATTATTTCATATATTATATTTATTTTCATATATACCTATATTATAATAGATTCATATTAAGATGGATTATTCGTAATATGAATTTGAGTGAACGAGATGACGATATATTTTATTAGATTGTGTCGTATAGATGTTTTTACATTATTGTCTATTTATAATTACTATATAGCGAATACAAATTTAAATACATTTTTACATAGTCCCGGGCACAACTAATCAAGAATAAACACACGATATAAAACGATAATAATGCTACTATGCTACTACTCCTCAAAAACACATACCTGTCGCAAGAAGTTAACTAGAGAAAATAGTTTCAGCATTATGTGATAAACAAATAATTTAGCACTTCCATAAACATATTGGTATGTGGGCACGAAATATTTTAAAACACATTTTGCACCTGCATACGTACCTACCTACATTATAGGAATATTTACGAGAAACGGGGTGTCAGGAATTTACACTCCTGCATTTTCAATAAATACAGTGGAGTATTTATTTCATGAAATCAATAGCGGAGCATATGTATATACATATATTTATTAATAGATATTTTTGAATATCCTTATATTATATCACTATTATTAAGTAATTATGAATATTTGTACAAATTATAACAATATACAAACTTACGGTGTTTTTTTGTATATGTGTATTTTATATTCTAAAAGTATCCTAGAAATATATTTTATTCATTAACTTGGTATCATCAATACATAGTATAAAACAAAGTCGCTCTGACTGTCTGTCCGTCCCTATATATGTATGTCATTAACTAAACAACAGATTTTGATGCGGATTTTTTTAATAGATAGAGTGATTCTAGAAGAAGGTTTATATGTATAATATATGTACACCCAGGCGAAGCCGGGGCCAGTAACTATTTTGTTATAAAATAGAATAAGTAGAAAATTCTTTATCTGAGCACTTAATTTTTACATTAATAGAGATGAGAAAACAAACCCGGTACCTAACTACTTGGAGATGCTAGCACGCTAATAGAATTTACATTGAATAAATACAAAAAATCGGTATCGATATTTAGTACAATCATCATTATTGTATAACATATAAAAGTAAAAATTCAGCCTGACTTACCAGGGCTAATAATAATAAGAATTATTATATATAGGAAAAATAAGGAGAAAATTTGTAATAGGAATAATAGAATACCTAATTTTAACATATCGCACAGTCACGCTTAACATATGCAACACATAATTAAAATTTAATTAAAAAACATCTTTTTGGAACAAGACTTTATATTCGATAGCCCTACATTATAAAATATGTATTAAGTCCGCCATATGTGCTTTAACATCTTTATTACGTGCATTAAAGGTAAATATTAAGGTTCCGATATGCATACACCCAAATAAATATTAACAGATAGATTATCAACAGTTGAGTTTCTTGGCAGTTCTTATATGCAGTTACTTTCCGAACTAGACGACACGGTCGTAAATAATAGGTATAAATAGCGCAAAATTGGAAATAAAATGTGAATGTTCAACATGTATAAAACTCGTAGTAGAGTTTAAATTTAATATGCGTGTATTTAAATAAATGTAGAGTTGCCAACATGTTTAAATAAACTGTGGATATAGTCTCGTTCCATGCTGTGAAGTTACCAGGAGTTGTTAAATATGAAACACTAAACATTAACATAGTGTCAATGCTGCGAAACTTTCAGGAATTTGCAACTCTCATTCATTAAATGTGGAGTGTTTATGATCACAGTGCCATGATATTAACAACATTGTTATTATAAATAAAAGGATTGCATTTTTTGCATGTTTACACGTTAATAACTGCACATTCATGTCTATTAATATTATCTATAAAAAGATCGTGTAAAGGAGCCGGCTTTAAGATTTTTTTTATTGTCGTATAACGCTTTTATTGACATAGGCCCATATATCATCACTCTATGTCCAATAGGAATAGAACTCCAATTAAGAATGCTGCCAAAAAGGGGAAAAGGTGACTCAAACGAAGTTTTATTGCTGTCTGTACACGAAAAAATACTGAAAATACATGAGTAAAAATATTATCGTGGGACTTTATCAACGTAAATTTTTTATTGGTTATTGAAAATGTCACGTACGTATGTAGACAGGATTTTAGTAGAAAGGATTTATAAGAGAAAAGGTGACTGCAGTTGTAGTGAGCATATATTGGTATAAGCTACAGTAGCTTACGAGAATCTAAAACCGGTCAAATAACTGGAATAGGACACCTGAATAGTCACAAGGGACGTGTTGGTTGGCTGCTGCATCGAGGTGGGTAGACTAGAATTATAATAATATATGAAATATTAGCGCAGCCTTCGGACTTCATACTAATAATCTTTATTACCTTTTCTATATTATTAGGTACATTTTTTATAGAGTTTTGGTACGTATTTAAGAGTAAGTAAAGGTAAAATCGTGAAATATAAATGTTTTTCTTTTTTATTCGAATCATAGTAATAGCTATTTGTAGTAACGTGTATTTACAGCTTCATCGTTTTAAAATGGGAGCAGAGTAATTTTTAACAAATTGTATTAGAGAAATATCGTAATAATATTATATATATTATACATTTCGGCCAATAGTGTAATGCTAATATTGCATAATGACGCGGGTCTTATCTCGACAGAGTCCACGGAAAGACTTTTTTCCAAACCAAAAAATACAATTTGTTGGTGCCGTTTCGCCCAAGCGGCAAAATATCATAGCTTTGATCTGTATAATAATAGGTAGATCGGTGTAGGGGCGGAGCTGACCGAAACGAGGGGGGTCCGTGATTGGTGGATGGCAGAAAGGGGGACAGGCGAGGTGTGGTGGCAAAGGTTGCCGGCTTGAGCTGTCGCCATTGTATGGTGAACGTCGGGCGACGTGGTCGCGGCCTAGTGTCTGTGTCACATCGGTTTAAGAAAAAAAAATGTTGGAATTTTACACGAATATAAATCCCGGATTGATGCAGGAAGCGATGCAGCCCCCGCTGGCCTGCGCGGGAAGAACAGGTCAGATTATATTATATATTAATTTCATTATTATTGACATGTGCGGTGCGTTTTTTAATTGTTTTTATCGGTAATTATAATGCTATTGCGTCTTCTATGGCTTTTTTCAAGATATTATAATATTTCTTCTGTAATTTATTGCTCAATATATTTTATAAAATAATAACAATATTTATTCGTTTTTTATGTCACAAATAATAGAAAGCTGACTAAAATAGAGTCTCCATCAAATATTATTACAATATTATTTTTATAGAAAAATAATATTTTTAATAAGTATACTGTTTATAAAAAATAATTATTTTTACATAACAAATTAAATCGGAAACCATGGAAACTAAATTTGAATAAATAACTAGATAGATATTTGCGAGGACAGTAATTTTAACGGATAACAAAATATTAGATTTATATTTAATACATAATATTAATGTATAACCATGTTTAAAATATACTAAAATGAAAATTGTTAACGTTTATAAATGCGTATATTTAAAAAAATAACTGAATTTAAATAAAAGACTTGGCTTTAAATTCTATAAAACTATAGCATTGCACAGAGGCGCGAAACCGAGTCGAGCAAAAAGATGCCTGGAATTTATAGCATTAAATGTACAACTTATACGTTTAAGTTACATTTACCAACGAGTTTCTCTTTTATTCTCGCCATATTTTAACGAACGGAATATAATAATTCTTTATTCAAATAAATTTAAAATTAAGCACTTTTGAATAGTCATCACCGGTGTAGGGATAAGGTGGCTGGTCAGCAGTGAACGATTATAGGATGAGAATTAATTAATCTCTATTTGTGTTATTTACTAATAAATAATCACGATAGTTTCCAAAGAACCACTGATGACGATACGACCTGATGAATATATCATGGTAGCAACCAAGCCTAGTCTCCATTACCAACAACATTTGTCTACTGTAAATTTCAAGAGCGTTGCTTCAATCTTTCCATTATTTATGAATAATGATGAGATGGCGATGAGAGTATGGGTTAATGATGAAACTAAGTGGGATACAAAAGTATGGGAATGAGTTCTAGCCACTAATCTTAAACCTAAGCGAATTTACTAGGACTCATGAATCTTGGTAGGACTGGAGCTGATAGTTCTTAAGATTGTAAAGAAAGAGAAGAAAGAGAAGTACCTATCTATAGATCTTAGATTACTAATCAGTCAATCAACCAAACGAAACAATCTATCGAAGTCAAACAAATTGACACGTGGAAGTTTAATTGGGTTAGTCGGGCCAATATGTATACCTAACTAGTTTTGCGTGAATGTGATGAACGCACGATTTCGACTCTATGGGGGCCCCGCCGATCGATGGGCTATATCGTATGCATCGTCATATATCTAACAGTGTGTGAGTTTATCTGTCTATAGAAGATTTCATTTAAACGCAAAACGATGAAATGAAATAATATTAAAGCGTAACCTTTTAGTAACAAGAAATTCAACTTTAAAGTGCAGTGAAGTAAATTTTCTAAGAATGGATAAACTCTACGGGCTCCGGCATGCAGCTACGTGGAAATAAGAATGACGTGAGCAGTGAGAAAAGGTATGCTCGGTATGGAAGAGAGAACGAATATCTGTAGAATAAACGCTGTCGACATACCTATTCATAATATCCAGTACACGGTAATGCGCGAGCAGTGGATTCTAAATAAAATGTTTACGTAAAAATGTGAAAGTTGGTTGGTTGTTGGTTCGGCATGCAGAGAGAATATCTAATAAAAGAAAATCATATATACAGATTATGAAAGAAAATTCTATTGATCTAGCAGTTTAGCACACACTTACCTACTTACGATGGTCGCGGGTTTGATTCCTCACATAGTACAAACATTTGTTTTCATGAGTATGATTCTTTGGTGTAATAATGACTATTTACTATTTCTTTATATACATTTTAGGTATTTGTAATATAATGAAGAAAACCCAAACTTATGAATATAGATTGTGCAAGTAGTGTAGACTTTGTACAAACTTGTTGGTGTTGTCTATGTTTCATTATTTCAGCCGCCAAGCCACTTTGTCCGCGGTATTTCAACGGTAGAACGAAAAACTGCAGTGAAATTAAAATATAATTAAATGTTTCAAAAACATTTAATTATATAGATAGACAGATAACTGACTTATTTATATTTTTAGCATAACATAATATAAATATAAAAAAGGTAGAGTGTTTTGTTAAAAACAAAGTGATAGACTAATTTGTAATCATCCACTTAAAAATCGAGCTCTTCAGTTGACCTGTCAAAACAAACGCAATTTTATCACATTTAAATAGTATTTTGTTACAACTCTGCTGACGTTTTCGGAATTTACTGAGCATGTACAGAAAATTCGGCTGGTGTTCATTTCAAACAAATTCTATGTAATTTTGTGCAGGTGAATACTAAACACCGTAGTATTTATTATTGCTGGCTGATTGGCTAACAGATATTTGATATACACCAGTAAACAGTATATAATTATTAATTAAAAAATGTTAAACAGTTTTATTCCGCAGTATCTTTGGTATTTGGAATATAAATATGTTGTATTTGCACAAAAATATTACTGCACATGATACTGTTATTAATCATATTAGTTATATTATCATCCGGGTCTTAAAACGAATAATTTTATGGTAAAATATATTTACCTGTCTTGACGTTTCATAGCGATGGACGGAGTATAGCGATGTTAATATCGGCAGATGACAGTAGTTATTCTACTACTGTCACTAGATTATTATTTATATCGCATACTACAGTTATTTTTCTAGTCTTTCTTCAAGGATAGCATCACATGAAATATTATATGACAAACCACTTTTCACGAAAAATAAAGTTTCTTTTGTCATAAAATGTGCATGTACTAATGAATGCGCTATTGATTGACCATTAGTCAGGTAGTCCTAACGTTATAATATTTATTTATTTTAATTGAACTATATATTGTATCATAAATTTATACTTATATATAACTATATTTAAATTTATCACTATTTTAGATTAAATAAATAATATCTAGTAGTAAAAATGCAGCAGTTTTAGTTTTATTTATCTAAATTTCGTCATACATCAGAAAAAATAGACATAAAAACATGTGTTAACAACAAAAATAAGAATCGATATTAAAATTATTTTATGTAGATGATAAAATAATTTTAATATCGTTTCTTATTTTTTAACTCAGAACGGCTCTCTATCGTAGACAATACGTAATAAAGAATGAGGGTTGGTCTATTTTTTTTATCTAGTAGAGCGTAGAGCAATAAAGAGACGTTTAACTTCGACGGCTCTTTAACAGAAATTTCAATATAACATTTAATTTTGAAATTTAAAAAGCGTTCTCGCGAACGCCTTTTCTTTGTACCTTTATCTATATTGCATCCTGAAGTTTAAATCTATTTAAATAAACCCAGAAAATAGTCGACACATGCGATGTTGAAGGCAAGTTCAAATAAAGTTATAAAAAAACCTATTCGACAGGGAATTTAAACTAAAACGGTACTTTTACGAAGACAGTGAAAAAGCCGGAATGCCTCACAAACAAAGTAACCATACAAATAATGCTTTTAAAATTGTTCAATGTCTAGCCAGAAGGAAACGTGCGCTTTTACCATTTCTTTTATGAAACGGAATTAATAGTGGAAAGCGTAAAGCAAAGAGAAAACACTAAACGTAATATATTACATGAATAATTATTTTCCACTGGGTTGATTTAAAAAGATTTATTCAACACAACATGATGACATATGTCTCACGACATTGAAATTATTTATAAACTATTCGTGACAGCCTCGATGGTCTAGCGGTTTAACACACCGCTAACACTATTAAAATATTGTTTTAATAAGTTTGAGTGTTTCTAAGGGTCTCGGTGTATTCTATGTATGTTATGTATATATTTACAAAATAAATAAGTATATATAGAAGCTCTGATTAACTTGGGACTAGATGGCCCTATGTGAATTGTTCAGAGTTATCATTAGATACCTATTATTATTTAACTTTATACTTACAGTATTCTCTCTCTCTCTTGTCTTGTCTCTCTTTTGTCTTTCTTTAGACAATCTGTCATTACATTAAAGGATGTAGTGATAGAATTGTCATTGCGGGTAAAAATCAGAAAGCAACGACAGTAATAAAAATATAGTTATGATTTTGTGAAAGAAACAAAAAAACATTTAAAAATGATACTATTATATAAACACCTATTTTATAACATTTTTAAATGTTTTGGTCCTAAGTATAATATACATATATTATAACGTAATTTATTATATTCACCCTCTAATGTTCTCTAAACTTTGTCTCTTACTTGTTTAACTATATCGCCTGTTTTTAAATAATCTTATTAAATGAAATTTGGTACACAGATAGTCTATACCCCGGGAAAGGAAGTAGGCTACTTTTTAATGCAAAAATCGGTAATAAGGAGTTGAAAGTGGAGATGTAAGGTTGTACGGAAAAATTGAAGTTTTTTAAGCTTTCAAGGTTGAAACTTATTTTTAGGCTATTGATTAAATATAATTAAAGAAAAAAGGTTATCAGTGGTTGAAAGAGGAGATGAAAGTTGTATAGAAGTATTATCATCTTTAAACCTACCAACCTTGAATCACATTTTTTAGGCCATTAATTAAATATAAATAAAGAGAAATGGTAGGGGGTTGAAGGGGGCGTTGAAAAGTTGTTTGGAGTAACGTCATGTTTGAAGCTAGGACTATGAAACTATTTTTTCATTATTTGGTCAAGGTCGTAAAATAGTTTTTAAGCGGACGAAGTTACAGGTATAGCTAGTACATAATACGTATATTCAAATATACCTATATTTCTTAATTGATAGTTTTAAAATACAATGTACAGACTTAAATATCTACGACAAACACTCCGCAGTGTTTCACAGCCAATCAAATCAATATAATGTACCTATGTGTGGCCGATTTATAGATAAAATTATATCTGTATATTTATCGGTATCTCGGAAACCAATTTA